AACATACAGAATATACGGGCAGCTCGTGCAGTTAGTAATGGTAAAAGGACTGAGAGGAGTCCAATTCGGTCTGTAATCATACGAGTGATTAACGAAATCGGACAACCGCGAAGTGGAACTCCGATTTGTTAATTACGAGTATGATTACAGACAGAATTGGACGAAACTAAGTCCTGTTACCGATAAATCAAGACTATGAAAAAATTTGACATAAGACAACCGTCGTTTATACGTTTACATGAAAGAAAAACAACAACAACAGTAAATTCGGCGAAATGCGCCGCAACAGTACGCGCATGTGCACAGAACACGTGCTGTCAATTACAAAGGCATGACGTGTACACTGTCCAATTACAAGTATGAAGTGTTCATTGTCCTATTAGTGCTCAAAACAGGTTGATGATATAACATGTCACGTTCCAGAATTTATGATGGTTTTGATTATTATTATCATTGTCATTGACACTGTCACTGTTAGTGTCCCTGACATTATCATAATCACTGATCTTCATCGTTATTATTATTATTATTGATATAATAATTATCATTTATACTATTGATTTTTATTCGAACTCCCAAATTTCGACATTTCATTGCAGGTAATGATAATAGCTTTCTGGATCTTAGCCGCAATAGCATGCATCCCCAACACCATGTACATGAGGGTCAATAATGGCCACTGCTATGAAAAATTTCCTAAAGAATGGGTTACCAAGGCTTATACTCTATGGAACACCACCCAAGTATTTGTTGCCTTATTACTGATGGTCACGTTATACTCCAGAGTCGTGCGCACGTTATGGTTTAAATCAAATATTGTTGCCCACCCTGTGACATCTCAGCAAAAAGTAAGTACCCTTACAAAGTCGTGCGCTATTTGCATAAATAATACAATCCATTTTCAATTGTATCTCGTTTTTTTTCTTTTGCTTCTGTTTTTTCTTTTTTAGCTTCCTTTTTTTTTCCAATTTGAAATCTTCAAGTTTCACTTGCGACAAACTGTTTCGTAGCTAGTATAACGCAAGTATATGACGCTAGTATGATATAGTTCGAAGTTCGTATGGGGTTGAGAATGACTCTACAAAAGGGAGACAGACAGTAGCTAACATCTTGTACTTTAAGACCGAGACTTTTTAGCGTGATACTCAAACAGTTTGCTTAGTAAATTTGAAAGCAATTTGGTAATTTTCTAGAACGATTTTAAACACCGCGTGATACCTGCCCACGAAAACTTTTTTGCAAGTATTTTACAAGTTTATAAACTCAAAAGAGTATTTTTTTTTTGCGTTAGTTGTCGTTGACGCTGTTTCTTCCTTTTTCGCTTTGCCTTTTGTTTATATGTTGTCTTTTTTGTATTAATTTGGCATTTATTCGTTTCTGTTTGTTGTTGTTGTTTTTTTTTTATTGTTAGATATTACCTTATTCATTCAAGTTTGTTCTGTTTACACGATTTAAGATAACCAAATGAACACCCAGTTTTTCTTAACCAAACATTTTTGGCCAAAAGATTTCCTCGACGAATTTTTCGTTGACAAAAAGTGAAAAAAGAGTGTTGACTTTCTCTTAACAGGCGTGCGCCCAACTTTCCTAGCACGTATTTCCATTGAATTTACCGCAAACCGCCTCATATCATAATAATTTTTGTCAAAAAAAGGTAAAAGAGGATTCGAGCAAACTTTAAAATCCTGTACTCGGGCAGTTTATCCTCGTTCTCTTCAACTAACCTCAGTTGGCGCTTTGACGATAGCGTCCGACGATGGAGAAAGAAAAGTAGAACAACTGCTCTGAATTATTTTGTTAAATGCAGATAAAACAAAACATCACGGTATTTTAACATTTGGAAAGTTTTTGTCTCGATAGTTTTCTTTTAAATGTTTAGAAAATTTATATTTTTAAAACACTTTTCAATCCTCAGGGTGTAATGAGAGTCCGCAAGCGAGTCACCTTAATGGCTGTGGTTGTCAGTATCATATTTGGAATCTGCTGGGGCACAATCCAGATTCTTTACACCTTGCATGCTTTCGAGGTTTTTCGGTTGGATAAAGTCGTTATCGCAATTTCCAACATTCTGGTATTGTTTAATTCTACTATCAATCCCTTTGTGTATGCTCTGCTCAGCGAAAACTTCAGACAGAAATTAAAAGGAATGGTCCGATTCCCAAGGGCTACTGTTGGTGCCACAACGGAGCTTCATAACATTGAAGTCCACATTGCAAGAGATAAATCCAACACCCCTGATGTTTCGATCAATACAACAACATCCGTGAGCCAGGAGTAAAAAAAAAAAGGAACCTTTTTCAAGCAATCATTTAATTAAATAATACGTCATAAGTAGACTTGAAAGGCTGGCACTTAGCGTAGAAATTGTTGTGTTTTTTTGCGGGAAGCTGTACAGATATAGTTCAATTTAGGAATATATATGACAAGATAAGATAATTGGACAATTGTTTTCTCTTTATATGACTGTTTCACTTCTTATTAACCAACACGAAAATAAAAGGGAATGTCGTGCAATAACAGATGTGTTACCCCATTAAAGGATGTGTACAAGTTGAACAATACATATCAAAATAATTGTGCTTTCAAACATCTTGCATTGAATATGTCATTTTGGCTGTTACAAACGCGTTGCAATTAGGCTTACAGACAGTATTTAAGATGCCAGTCGAGCCGTAGAATTGTGGGAAATAACTTGCTTTAATTTATCAGAGTTGAACAGGATGCAGAAACCTGACGAGATTTCGCTCAATCTTGTACTTGTCAATGCGTTTGAGAAACAGTTATAAGGTTTTGGGATTCTTGTCGTCTGGTCGAAAAGTGGCCATATTTATTCTTAGCAGGAATTTGATAGTTAATCAGACCACTCCAAAACTTGATCCTTCAATCTTGATGCGAACAAAAAAAACAAAAAGTTGACCTCTTCTCACAAGCGAGTGGAATTACCCTCTTACTTGCCAGGATAACCCTCCCTTCATGAAAACCACCACTTGAAAAGATCAGATTTGTTATTTTACATTATCTCCATCTCCCCGATTAGTTAACCAAAAACCTCACGTTAAAGCGTACTTATGATGAACGTAAGCAAGTTAAAATGAGCCTTTTGGGCCAGCGTATACGTAGAAAATAGCTGACACGATAACGGTAAGCCAATTATATCAGGAATGTTTGATAAAGGTATCCTAAGCTCTCCTTATTACTGAGCGACATCTACGAGCTCTAGTCAACTAGGGAGTCTACAAAAGAATTATCCATCCTTCTAATTAACGTCATCGAAGTAGGAATAAACAAAAGGTTGATAAATCTAAGGTAAGGGAGTTTATATATTGCTTTCTTAACATCTCAAATCTTTAAACCTGAAACGGTGGTATGTGTTCATTCCTTGTCATATACGTGATATTCGTGCGGCCTTCAAAGCGTTCGTAAACAGCAGCTCGTAAGAACACTAGTTTTTATCGACTTGTTAGCCCAGAGGACAGGCACAACGATGAATGTTGCCGGGAGTGGTGCAAAAGAATTGAACAACCAATCTACTGGTCTTCACCGTCATCTCTTACAGATCGCGAATTTCGCGGTAGTGGTTGAAAAGTAAATCTCAGGTGTACCGGCAGTCACGCTTAAGATAGTGGCTTTTACTTTTAAGCTTAATAACTTATAACCTGCGGGAAGAGCAACATTTACCATCTTTCAGGCCATCCTCCAATAATCTTCAATAACTTATGTCGTAGTCTAATGGGGTCAGGGGCCATTTCGGTTATTAGAATAGTCAATTGTCTGTTGTCGCAGGTGTTTTTTCCTCTTTTTTTCTCTCCTTTTCCTTCAGTCTTCTTTTTTGCGTATGATTTCGTGCTTAAGATAAATGCCGATAGAACTTTTCTTTAGTAAAAGAAAATCATGAAAACGTGAGTAAACATTTCGTATGGCATCATAATTTACCCTGTTAAATATACGCTTACACGTTCTTCGTTTCTTTCCAAACACTAAGCGCGTGAAACTCTTTAACCGAACGAGGCAAAAAAATAAGAAACGAAAACCCGTAAACTTTATAATTTGAAGTCTCTGATAGCGATACGATAGTAACTCATCTCTCTACACGAGTATTAAATTCTTTCCATCCTTTTCCGTTTCCGGCGTTGAATATCGTATGGGATCTTAATTAAAAAAAAAAAGAGAAGAACGTGTAAATCAAGTGAGGACAGGTATGCTACGATAATTCAGTTTTCCAAGCTTTCGCCGATCTACGGCATTATCAGGGATGACATACATAAACTATTTGTCTTCGAGATTGTTATTTTATGGAGACATAGTTCTGACTCGGTTGAGAATCCTCCTGCGGCAAGAGGCCAGTTTGCTAACATCTGGAAATTATGGATGGACATTTCAGCGCTATGATCAACAAGATTGCTTACATCTTCTGTAACAGTTCGGTGGACAGTCTTTTGGCTGAGAGAGGATGCCGTGTTAGAGTTTTCACAAGCAGTATATTTTGATAAGAGTCTGACCATATTTGTTTTTCACGTAACCTTTCAGACTTTGATGTTTACTCAGCAGGTATTTTTAATTACTTTTTTTAGCGCAATGTCTGTTTGGCCATTAAGCCACTTTACTTATTGAACAGAGCTTTCGTTGCTAGACATAAACAGGATGTTGTTACGAATCAACGCTAAAACAAAGTTCCCTTTGTGTCACTTCACCCGTCTTCTAAAACAGAGCTGACCTATTCGCCAAGATTCTGCTTGATTCGTTGCCGTGATTATCTTGACGGGAGGTGATCGATTGGAATGGTCGGTAGAAATAAAAAAAAATAAATAAAAATAATGGTGCAACAGTTAAGGTAAGGATCTTCCTGATCGAGTAATCTCTCTTTGTGAAATGACGTTGTGTTGCGATATATTAAATTAAGGGGATGTTTCATTAGGCAACTAGTAGGTCAGTCGATGGGATGTTAGTGCTGTTGTCAACAGTCAGTTACAAAAAAAAAAAAAAAAAAAAGCTATTACAAAGAAAACTTTCGATTTTCTTATCCGTTGCTCTTTTTCCGTTTTTTCGATAAAAGTAGGGCTAGCCTTCAGGCCTTTAAAGACTTATAGTATGCGTCCTTAAAAGGAAAAAGGTAATCACAATGCTGAGCTCCAGCGAATGGAGCAAGTTACCAAATCTAATAGGAAAGGTAATCATTCGGGACATTCAGAATTACCATATATAGCTTGGATTTTATCCATAAGAAACCGTAAATTTAACCAGCTGTTCCTCAATGTAAGATGAAATGCAACCTTTTTTCTGTGGTATATATCCCATGCGTGTCATAAAATGTTAATTAATGAAGCAGACTTTATGGAATCGCCAAAATCCAACTTATAAGCGGCAACTAACAGCGGACAGATCTCTGCGCCCCGCAAACTTCTTCGTTTATTGTTTCCAAAACACTTCTACTAATTTAAACGCTGTGATCAACATTAAAATTCAAAGGAGTGTGTGTTAGCGAAAATTCATGCGGGGACAATTTTTTTGTCGCAGGGACAACGACTGTAACGTAAATTTAAATGCTCCTACCGTGAGCCTGGCTGAACCAAATAACTTCAACACGTTCGTCGCAGCTACTTGTCGAGTTCAAGCTGTGCTTTGAGAGATTTAAAATTTCACTAAAAAAGCAAGCTGATCGGTTAAGTAAACATGTCAAAGTTCATATTGAAATTTCCTAAATTGCTGCCTCGAGGAGGAATTCGAAACTTTTCAACAATAGTTACTTTTTCAAAATAGCAGCTGTTTCTTCGCCAAAAGAACTTGAATTTCCATGCATTCAGTCGCTCTGTTATCACTTGTAAAGAAAACAATGCTTTCAATCAACGACAGCCAAAGAAACCATTTTGCGTATTCGTGTCGACAATGACGTCTGAAAGTATGGCTTAGGGGGCCTAAAGCAAGGTGTTTTAAGATGATTCAAATGACATGTTCAAAGTTGTTAAGAAGGAGTTAAACTCGAAAAAATGATCTCAAGATAAGTGCTTTACTTTTCAATCGAGATCTTAGTTTCTGAACCAATACCATGTACCCACTGCAAAAGATTAAAAAATTCCATGGAGGTTCCCGCTGCGCAATATTTGTGATATCTACCGACAGTCAGATTGTAGGGTTGTTACAGCAAGATTCAGGTGGCAGGATTCAGAGTTTATCACCGTAACTTCCTCTCCCTTCGTCTTTAAAGCTCAACTGTGACCAGGTGAAACTTTAGGTTGCATCGCGTAAGTAAAAAACCTTGAAATCTTGTTCACCTTTAGGAGCCTGGTTGTGATTTGTAATATTATATTTAATTTTGAATTTATTGTTGACGCATGCAATGATTGATCATGATAGTGAACCACAAACAGAGATGGGTGTATTTCTTTCTAAGACCTGTCGTTCTGTTTGGAACTCTGTGTTTGATCGGCTAATCAACTTGATTTCGCTTAAAAGCCCGTCACAACTCCGTTATTTATTTCCACGTTTTGGCACAGGTAGCCCAAGCTTGTTATGACGCAAAGGGATTTGTGGAAGAGAACCAACCCGTTGTATTAAAAGACCACAACAATGTCCGAGATTAGGCTTAAGTAAAGTGACTCACGTGGCTGCAGTTTTAAGTACCTGCATAGGATTTATAGAAAAAAATAGGAGCTCCGAACTAACCCTGAGACTCGCTGTTAATCGTCCCAAAAACCATAACGGAAAGAGGAAAACACGATAGGTATAAAGTCAGGTTATTATGTTATTGTATAACATACATTTTGGAGGTTTCTGATTAAAAACATGCAAACGTTTTTCACGTATCGTCTCCACATGCACGTGTTACTTTGTGTTTCGTTGAGCTTTCTGCTAGAATCGAGTTACGTAACTAAGGAATGTAGTATGTGTAGCTCGGGGGATTATTCTCGACGTGGCAAATATAGTCGAGCAAAGAGATCCTATGTTTGTAAGGGCGGGGGGCGGGTAGGGCTGGTCAATTTTATTTGAATATTTGTCTGTTTGTTCTTTCCTACGTTCATGCCTTTTAGCCCTGTTTCTACGCTATTGTTTGTTGTTTGGTCATAATAAAGTTAAAGATATTCACAGTAGATCTCCTCAAAGTTTTTCTGTTTAGTTGCTGAAAAGTATTGAAAATATACTTTACCAAAGGAAAGCTCATCGATCAAATTTTACCCAACCAATCACAGTTGTTAGATGAACCCTGGAAGCCTACAAATCATACGAGGAATGGCAAACATAGCTTGAGCCCGCGGTGTGTTACGATTTGACTGCGGCTGTTGGCAAGAGACACGACTGATTTGACTCAAATCTACAAAAAAATGAATCGCTAATTAATAAAGCATTGATACAGAATTTCTGGCGTCATTTCGGATAATGTTAGTGAAGAGAACATGTGTTGAGCATATGGTAGACCTCCGCAGGTGTCCTTCGCGATAAAACCGTTAAAGTACTATTTGAAACTTGACCCCAATAAACTCGCTAAATAGAGCGCCTAAGAGTAACGAAAAACGGTTTTTGTGTTAAATTTCAACTATCCTGTTCATAATTGTTAAGGAATCATATTCTTACCATTCTTGCACAATCAATAGTCATTTTCGTACAGTTAGTTTGCTTTATAAGAGCTTTTTCTAAAAAAACAAAAGCGATTAGATTGAGAAGTTAAGCAAGATGTATTACGTTTTCATAAATCTTGTTTCGTTCGCATCAGTCACGGTTACGTTTGGGTCGTGTGAATTTGCTATGTTTGAAACTTCGAAGTTTATCGACCGACGTTTTAACTTAAAGTGTGACTATCAGGGTAAATTTGAGCTAAGGGCAACTAAAGTTAGTTTGAGTGAGCAGGAAGTTTCAGGAAACTGAGTTCAAGTTGGTTGATAATGATGATTTGAAAAATAGGGCCAACAAGTTTGTTTCAGTTACGTTTAGTTACAGATAATGAAGTTTAGTTTGACTTGAAAAAATAAGTAACTAAGTCATTGGTTCTTTGAGGTCTACCGAACTAGTGATCAAATGAATAAAGGAGTAAGTTCTGAAGAAACTGCGGTGCTGCGTCGATGGGAGTATAATAGGTAACTTAGTATTATCAACTGAATTGATAACGTAAATTGGCCTCCGTTAAGGGTTTCAAAGCTGAAGTTTCGAGCGTTAGCCCTTCGTCAGAGCGAATGATGAAGGGCTAACGCTCGAAACGTCAGCTATAAAACTGTTTTCGGCGGCCGATTTATGTTATCAACTCGTTGATAATTCTAAATCACCCTAGTGCATTTCAAAGCTCAATTGATGTAAATGTCCCTCGATATCCTTTCCATGTGTCAGGTATGTGATTACATGACTTTTTCTTTTTTAAGGTCAATCAGCATTAATCTTTTCCATAGTTTATTTGGCCAGGTTCCTTTGCTTTTTACTATTCTCTCCAGGTTTACCTATTGTTCAAAAACTAATATTGGACCATGGTTCCTCGCTCGTAAAAGGCACTCTCTTAGGAAGCAGAAAACTGCTCAAAATTCTTTGGCGTTGTACTACCTCATAAATGCTAATTTTTGTGCATTTTTTCCATGAAACAATGCAAAGCACTTCTGATTTTACCGTGACATGTGCACGTCTCAAATCATAATGCAGATCAACACTGATAAGTGCTATTATTTTAATTGTGCAAATATTATCACTAGATCCGGGAACTGGACCTTAAACGAAGACGCTGCTCAGCATTTGGCCCACAGCGCAGTGTGGCTGGATAGACCGCGATTAGCTATCAACTAGCATTACACGCTACATTTAGTTTGAGGCCGGTAAGTTTTCAGTTGATTTCTTTCAGTTAAGCTAAGTACGCGAACTTAAAGCTCAAAGAAGAATTTCTGAGCAGATGACGTGTACCAGGGTGATGTATCATTTTTCTTGTTTGGTTGATATTTGGGACACATACGTGTACAGTGTTTTATCACGTTTCGTTCCATCTTCCGAAAACATAGTTTTGTTTCCACTGTAGTTTGTAGTTTGTAGTCTGTAGTTTGTTTCCACTGTGCATAAGCCTGGTCTTGTGCTTAAAACAATATAAATAGTTTTATAGATTGTACTTTAACAGTATTCTCTCGTCAATCTATGGACATTTTTACGTGGAAGAAGAATTATATTTGCTTGCTGTGCGATTCGATCAAATTCGATCTGTTTAAGCACTTATAATTACTGGCAGCAAATAAAGTTCAACAAGTATACGCGTATTTCGCTATCTCGTGAGTTCTTGACCATCTCAATATTCAGTACGCACTCAATGAGTTATCCACATTTAAGAGCCACTAGGCTACTGACACAAAGCTGCAACAGCAGCCATACAGCTGAGCAGACTCTGATTTTGTTTTCTATGAAATAGAGATGTAAATCAAATGAAGAAAGGATGGTGATGTCTGTAGAAGTAAATATAACTAGACAGAATTTCCGTAGAAAGGGTCATGCATGTTCAGAAAGGCGCAGAGAAGTTTTAAACGCATGAAAAGACCTGCGTGGTAAATTAATTACCAACGTATTCCGTCAGTGAATAAGTACCCGAAATTTAGGTGTAAGTCACGAATTTTTGAACATCAGTTGTTTAAAGCCAACTTCCAATCCGTCCCCTTTTTATTCTGTTCCAAGTTTGAAAACCACGCCGTTTACCTCTTTTCGTGCATTTGTTAAAAGAATGTTTAGCATAGTGTGCAGGTTTCGCGCTCGATGCCTCGTTGGGTGCCACGAGCGATGTTAACAAAACAAGGTCATTAACTTATCAGATCTTATCAATTAAATATGCAGTTGCGGTTTGAGTCATTACTAATGATGGCGCGATTTACCAAGTTGAGCGCCCGAGGATAAGAATAATCAAAGCAGTTAGAGAGCTCAAACATTTATCGGCTAGTTATACCGAAAGATTGACAAACGAAAGGAAAAAACAATCACGCAGGCCCGCAGCCTGAGCTTGTATTTATTATGATTACAGGAACTGCGATATGTTTGGTGTCAGTTTTCAACGAAAATTGTACTTGGTAGATCATGGAGTCTTTGAAAATTTTAATTACAAACCGCGACGTCAACAGGAAACCCCAAAAAAACTTATCAGTCAATTTGGAATCCAATAATATTTGCAGGCGAGTGTCACGTACACGCTTTGGCCGTACGGAAAAGTTATTGAATTCGCATGTTCCATCAGTTTTTACAGCGCTCCTTCTTTGCTTGAACTATCAACTTTTTTATATGGAAAAAGGTAATTTAAATAATATTTTATGGATTTTAAAATAAAGATTATTACCGCAGTAAATTTTTTGTGGTATCAATAGCATGTAAAGTTAACATCATTTCTTCTGCGCATGTTAATATAAGATACATCTGGCTGTTTTAAAAACAGGAAAAATATAATTTCCTCCTCAGAAAAACAACTTTTTCACGGAAAGGAATGGTTTGAAAGAATGACGAACAACACCACGACACACGTTACTTCAGCTCGTATGACTTACTTTGGCGCGGAACCAATACTGCAGTTGACTGCCACTAGTTTCATCGCACTGGTTGGCGTTATGGGAAATATTCTCACCTGTGTCACACTAATGAGCAAACACGAACCCTTCAAATCACCCATAAAGCAGTATCTGATAAGCTTAGCCGTGGCTGATATAGGAATTCTCACTATTGCCTACCCCATGATAATTATCAGAAGTGAGATTAGCTGGCCGTTTGGTGAGTACGTGTGCCGATTAATTTTTCCTTTGACAGACGTATTTTTCGGCGCGTCAGTATGGGCAGTTACAGCTGTTTCCATGGAAAGATGGCGAAAAATATTGACGACTAGACTTAAATCAACAATAGAATCATCGGGATATGCAATGCGAGTAGTTGCAGCCATTTGGATTGCGTCCTTTCTGGTAACTTCTACACCATTTTACATTATGGTTGAATATATTGACACTGGAAATGACAAATTTTGCTTCTACCATTGGGATAAATATGAAAAGTTCCACGAAGTGCACTCTGTCGTGTTATTTTTGTTCTGGTTTGGAGTTCCAATGGGCATAATTTTATGCAACTACATATCAATAACGAGGACACTCAAAGAAAGCACAAAATTTATCGTACATTTTTACAAAACAATCAGTGCGGAACCTTCAAGCTCGTTCACAGCAACATCAAGTCAAATCTTTTCAAAGCTCAGCAGCACAAGTAACGCACCAGTCTGTCGCAGATTAAAAGAAAACAAGCAAGCCCAGCTCATCCTCACCCCTGTTGTCATCATGTTCGCCATTACGATGCTTCCTTTTAACTTAATGCTCCTAACGCTGGCCTTCTGGCCTCATTTAGCTCTGATGCCATTTTTCCCCGACATTGTTTATCTGTGCATTTTGTTAGTAGTGGTCAATTCGTCTTGTAATCCCATTATTTACGAGTTGGTGAGCAGGAATTTCAGAAATTCATTGTGGGCCGTTCTTGAGGGCACTTGCAGGAAACTTTTTGAATCCGAGAGAGAGGATTTTGAAAGGGAACACGTGGTTTAGGAATTAGGACTAAACGTTCAATGCGGGCCCGGAACAGTTTTCGAGACAAGTGAACATTGCTTTCTATCGACGCCTTCATGCCCCTCACTTAGGTGTTGTACGAAAACTCTGAGTAATTTGAGACGAGCACGTGCGCGAAGGACTGTGGGAGGAGGAAATTACGCTAAATTTGCTCCCTTGCGCGCCCATTGTTTTCCCTGGGCACAAGAAAAAAATGGCTCGACTGAAATGTCTCTTGAGTAAACCTGTTAGAGAAATTTCCATTTGAACGTCGCAGTAACTCGCGATTGTCTGATTTTTGTTGTTTTCGCTCTGTGCTTGGACTTTTAGATGCCTGATTATGTTTAGAGAAGATTATTCATACCAAGAGGAAGTAATGGAATTATTTTATTTTGTTTACTTATATTCGATACACGCATTTATGTTATGACAGTAATCTAACAAATGAACGTAAAGGCACCCGTGTATTTACCACTTCAAAGTGAGACACTGGTTTTCAACACTGAAAATTATCCAGATCAAAAAGAAAAGTGATTAGCTTTTAAAAACAAGTATAACAGTAATTTTTCAAATTGACAAAGAGTTTAAGTGCATGTGGCGCGTCAAAATGAGGATCCTGGGACAGGAAATTAGTTCTCAACACTGGAAATTACTCAGAGGATAATAAGAAAGTACGGTGCACCTATGAATCACATGCAGTATGAATCATTAGAGAGCGCACAAACAAACATCTTTTTCTCAGTTATCTTTGGAACTACAGACGAAAAGCGCAGGCTTTCCCAGGATTTCAAGCCTTGGGTTTGTAAAATTTACAGGGAACTTAGCGCGCGGAACTGAGGAGCCGGGACTTATATCTGGAGAGCTCTCTCAGCAAAATATAATAATGCTTCGAAGCAATGTAATAACTAAATCCACTTTATTATCCTTCAAGGAAAACGTATTAAAAACATACTATGTAAACGAAAATGGATCTTTCGATCGTGAGGTCCGATCGTCCAAGTGAAGGAAGTTCGAGAAAAGAACTGTTGATAACGTCAGTACCCGTTCATCAGACAATCTGAGCGAAAGTCATCACCAGAGTTAAGTATGGAGTCTTTCGTCATTTAAGTCTTGAAAAACCGCTTTATAAAAATTGACTTGTGAGTTTTCCCGTGATGCTATTGGCTGCAAGACTCAAGCGGAGTGAGTCAGTTGTCACTGTTCAGTCAATATCGTGAATAATTCGCTTGCTAGGTTTCGGTAGCTGGTGACATCGGTTGAAAGGAGACTGCTCTAAGTTACGAAGTGCTTGCAACCTTCCTCTCTCGATATGGTGAAAGAAGACGCTTCTTACGTCCCATGTGAAGAAAACTAGTCGTCATGAAATACAGACCTTTTCCTACCAAATATATATTAAGCGTTTACTTTTCCACCATGCTTGTACACCGTATGGTAAATAACAGGCGATCCTCATATGCAGACAAACTCAAATGGGATGCAGTGGAAAAACAATTACGTTTTCCTTTGCTAGTTTATCGGTTTAGAGCCATGGTAGAATTCTTCCTTGCTTTTTTTCAGTTGAACGATTTGCAAACAGGGAAGAGGCTATTAATCAATCTTCCCAAATTTTGCTTGGTATTTTTTCCTCGCTGCTTCATCCATGACGACTGTAGCAACAATATTTCCATCCTCGTCAGCTGATGTGTCCTGAACTGTTGTCTCATGATAAAGCCAGCTAAAATAAACAGTCAGAAAGAAAAGATATATCTGCATCCATTTAAGTCGTGAAAAGAAAACGACTTTTTTCAAAAGCGCAAAGAAAGTCTCAAATTACTTATTACAGCTATTCCAATAGTTCAAACCAACCTTTTGGTCTCAAGTCAGAGGATCACATGAAAAAAAGATATCAATAACAAATTTTGCCAATCATGTTTCAAGTTAACGTTGCTCTGAATAAATCCTCTGCGTTTGAATATTTCTGAATGCTTTTCTGCCTTCTCACCTAAGCTGTGGTCCATCTGGAGGAAATACAAGTTTCTTGACTTGTCTCCCTGTGGATGCTATGATCCCTTTTTCGACCATTGCACGAAGCTCACTCAAACCTGTTTTGTTTACCGCACTTATCTTGGTCCGCCTGTCGCTTAACACGCCGGATCTAACTTGGAAGTTTTTATCATTGCTAGAACAACGAAAAGGAAAGAAAAAGCAGAATAGCTACTGGAAGTCAATCATAGTTTGATGCTACACTGGTTTGCAGATTTAATGAATGTAACCGAAGATGTTACAATTCATAGACCCAACGTTTCGACATTCCTGTCTAGTGCCTTCATCAGGGGTGATCTAAACGCTGCAACAAGAGGTCCTTTTATATGACCACTAATTAGCGGCCTTTTTTTCTGACGAGGTGTAAATAGGCGTCAGGAAGCAGACCGCCATCGTCACGATTTAAAGGAGCGTGGGCGGAGTTAATGTGCCAAGCCTCCAAACAAAGGCGCTGGTGGTAACGCCGATTAGTGGTGATAATTTTAGAATTATCCCACCCAATTGTATGGTTGGTTAGGCAAGTATGCTCCGATAAACTGTGATAAACCGTAATAAAACTCCGATAAACCGTGTGAACTTTAATATAAGCTACTGTAAGTGTTTATCCATTTATAATAGTATTTGACTTTATCAATAAAATGGGAGTGAACACTTTCGTAAGTTAAGACATTTGCAAGTTAGTTATAGTACTGTTTGTAATTATGAAAAAGACCACTTAATCAAAGCAGATGATAATAATTTTCGAGTTAAGTCTTTTGCCCTTTCGCTGGGATACATTTTATAAACATGAATGGCATGCATAATGAGAAGCTTTTCGAATGTTGTAAAATTAAACTTCTCTTTCAAACAAAATAAACCCAAACAGGTGGAACCCTTCAACTTTGATTCAGTCAATTCCATCTCCCTTCAGGCCACCTCTTGTTTACATTCTAAATTTTCTTTGCAGTTTCAGTAAAATGTTTGGTGTATTCAAATTCATTACGTGTTCCCTCGAAAAAAGCTTAAATATAACAAAATTCTATTACCATACGCATTAAATAAAAAAAAAAAGAAGAAAAATGGAGTTCATTTTCACTTATCAAGAGTTGGCTACGCTCCCTTACTCGTGTCACCCATCACGTACCAAAGATCAATCTTATTCTGAGCCTCTATCATGGTTTCCATTAAAGGTGCCTTAATGCTGAGTTGTTTCTCAAGAACTGTCATGACGTCATCCAGTTGAGCGTCACATTCTGGGTGACTGACGTCGCGCACATGTACAACTAAATCCTGTGTGTAAAAGGAGAGGTGGAAAATAACTTTAAATGGCAAAAAATAAATAAATAAATAAATAAATATATATGCAATGACTCCATTGGTGTCCTGACTGATCAACAAAAAAGCTCATAACACATACATGTCAATCAGCACATTGGGAACAAAATGGAGCTACAAAAACAATGTATTTCCAATAACTAAGAGAATTATAAATCAAGGACAAGTATGCTCCAGAAACCTTAAACTTTTCTCATCACCATAAAAAAGTTTTTACACACCATTTTTATTTGATGAAGTGCACTGGGTACCTGTTAGATCTTTGGACCTGAAAAGTGGTCGCATCCAAGATGGGTACTTAATCAAGGCTGGGCTCTTACTAAATTTCCTACATACAGGGAAGGTGCTTATTCAAGGTGAGCACTCATTTGGAGGTTGGAGTTAAACTAATAAATACAGTATAACTTTTCTCATTGTCCTTTTGTTGAGATCTAGAGCAAGATGCATTACTCTAATTTCTGATTTCATCTTTCCACCCAAGAGTGTACAATGATACTGGTAAACTCTTAGGTAAGCTAAAGGCAAAATGCTGGGTTGGGGGTGGAGTAGGTTAACAACAATGGACTAGCATCTTATCCAGGGGGAGGGGGAGGGGGGTGATGAGCAATATTCATGAGATCATCATGCTACAGAAACTTGAACCAGCTCACAATGCCATATTGCTCACTTACAGTGCAGACTTATTCCAGAGCTATTTCAAAAAACTTGACTCAGTGTATAGACAAAACACATAGCATTTACAGAACAAAAAGCTCAACCTACTGAATCTGAAATATCTTCCAATGTTGCAGAAAAAGACTCAACAAGTTCTGGGGGCAGGTCGGATACAAATCCAACAGTGTCAATAAAGAGAACAGTCATGCCAGATGGGAGTTTCCCTGGATGTGCTGTTACATCAAGAGTTGCAAAGAGTTTGTCTTCAGGCTGCATCTTAGCTTCATCTGTTAACGCCTTAATCAGAGTTGTTTTGCCTGTCATGTGAAAAAGTACCAAAATATTAATTTAAGCATGACTGATTAAAACATCCTCTGTTATCTATATACCAGTACTTCTCCATAATAATGGGAAAAAGGGAGTACATCCAGTAAAGCAGAGGCACTAATTCTTACTTCTTACTGAACAAGGGCAAAGGCTACACTGGGGAATATTGGTCAAAGGTCATAGCAGTATGGACCAAGCATAGCAAGGTGCATACAATTCTATCAAGAGACAATATTGGCCAGCACCACTCAAGGAAACAAAGTTAGTATCAAGTAGTTTATTAAATGGCTCTCTGACCAACCTCCTTTGTGCTGAATTTGCCTGCTTTTGTGAACAAAATACATGGCTTATGACAGTTTCCATGGAAATAGTCTACGTGGTAAAATCTTGACCAAGTAAAAAACAATCAGAATGTTTGGCTTTACCCCACAATCACAATGCTATATAATTACAGGATTTACTGTATACACATACATGCAGGAAGGGTGGTTCTCAGCATACCCTCTCCAAGTACAGTGTATCCATCGCAATCAAACAAGAGAAAGGAGAAGATGCAAATACATATTAATTTTGAAAGAGTAATTAACTCAGAATTGATCCAGGTACACTTAGACTGGTCATGTAAGTACTAAGATGGTACATCATTCAATACCTGCATTGGTGTAACCTACAACTGCCACGGTTGGTACATGTCTCTTTTGTCGGTCATGCCTAACATGCTCACGCTGCTTTTTGATAGCATATAACTTCTTTTTCAGTCTTATTTCACGTTCAAATAAAATCCTTCTCTGCTTTTCCAGGATTGTTTCTCCAGATCCTCCTATGGTGTGTGTTCCACCTCTCTGCTGATCAAAACTCCCTCTATGTACCAATCTTGACCTATCCATATAATTAAAGTTCCAGGTATTAATAAACGGTACACCTCTATATAAAAGGCTAATTGTGAAAACTGTATTATTTTGTAACTGTAATAGCAAAAGTACAGTCATACTTTAGGTACTCAGAAAAGATCACAAAGAGCTTTAAGTTCAGTAATTCAATTGCTTAGCACATTAACACCCATTACACCTCATTTGTGTACCTAGAAGCCATTTTTCTTTTCCTTCCATGCCTCCTGGTATTTCATTGTGGTGTTCTTTCATATCTGTTCTGTTTTCTACTGCCTTTCTGTTAACAGCGTGTATAAGTGTTGTTTGATCTATTAGCTTAATTTGATTAAATTACAAAAGGTTGTTTTTTTGACCAAATCAGTTCATTAATAAGCTTGTCATAATAAAGGCTGCCTTTTGTCCTACAAATTGAGTGTATGTAGTTTTGACTGAATGTACCTGATGTATGGTAACTCTGCTAATTCCACCTGAATCTTTGCCTCTGCTGTTTTGGCCCTCTCCTTGAATATTTGCAACACCACACCAAACCTATCATACACCTTAACATCCCAAATGTCTTCTAATTGTGTATGCTGCCAATTATTGAGCTGAGCTACATCGATTAAAACACTGTCAAAGGGAGAAGAAGAATTTTTCATTTCTTTGAATCTTTCATTTAACTCCTCAATCTTTCCTTTTCCGAAAAATGTTTTTCTGTCCATCCTTCTGACGGATTCTATACTTCTACCGGCTACCTTCCAGCTTTCGATCGACTCCACTAGCGCACATGCTTCATCTAGTCGATGCTGGCTTGTGACGGCTCGAAAGCGATTTCTTCCCCATTTAAAATCGGGTTCTAAAACGTAAACCTCATGAAGTTTCCCTGCATCTTTGTCGTGGTGGTAATGGTGACGAGCTCGAAGATCTTGTAATATTTCTGCACTCTCTGGGTGTTCATCGTCCGCATCTAACGAAGCTGAAGTGTCACTTTGTTTGGAAAATTGCCTCCTCCAATATGGATATGCTGAGATGATCCCACTAGAACGCAGAGGGAGGAAAGACGCACGATTCGATAATGACCGTGAGGGGCGAAATTCTACGGACAATGATCGCAGCCATCGCACACCATGAGTTGAAAAAGTGCGATGCATTTTTGCAAAGTGCACTGTCCTCTAAACTAAAGGTAAATGCTGTGGGCAAGAATATTACACCCAACCATTTCAACAAACTTTGCAAGGCGTCAAATTCATTCTAATTACGACCAAATAGGCTTGGGCACTAAGAAAATAGTTTTGGTCAGCGTTTATACGTTATAGATATGATTGCGCATAACATTCATATACTACCCGCTGCTTTGATCACTGCAGTTACAAAGATGGCCGCAAGGCGAGCAAAGATGCGAACTTAACAAAATAATAATATTTCAGCGCATGCATCGAAGGGAACCATTCCTATGTGGGTAGTGACGCATTTTGGAAATTTTGTAACATGGTTGAAAGGGAGATTCGCTTTTCTCACGCATGTGAGGTATGATTGTAGCTCAATAGGCAGCGTATACCTGTGGATTTACACCTGTTTTAATCTCAAACAAACAACAATATCTATCTTGCAGCATTTACTTGTGATCAGCTTGTTACTTGTTATAATCCTGAGCTTGAAATATAACTTATTTTATAAATATGTTGTTTCTGAGGAAGAGTTAGTTGCATTTGGTTACCTATATCGGAACGAAATATATTCAGAATAATTCTTTTCTGTATAATATACTGTAAAATCGACGTTTCTTACAGTAACAAGAAGAAAGTTGTGGGAAAAAATATCCAGATAAGGACCTTCCTCTTGCATTTTAACAGTCGTCTCTAAATAGGAGCATTCATTTCATATTCTAGAGAAACAGATTCCTGGTCCTTCTATTAAGTTTCAACTATTTTTCCTTTGCCTCCACCATCTTTCTTGTCCTACAAACCCTTTTATTCCTAAAACATGATATCGACATTGCTGATCCTAGCAGTATGCAGGACACCTGTCATATGAACCTTGCAATTGACCTCATTCACTGTAGTCTCTGCGGCTCAGTGGTAGAGCATCAGAGTGCGGAATCTGAAGGTCTGAGGTTCAGTTCCTCATGGGGACTCAGAATTTTTTCTTTTTCCCCGCACTCATGACAAGACAAACATCTTACTCTATTTGTTAACTGAGCTCAAAAATTACCATTTCTCTTATATTACTTATCTGATTGTTAATTCTCCCTTCTAGCTGCTATGATTTTCCTTTTAAATTACTTATGACAATTTGGTGTTAGATCAAGATGACAACTTATGCTTGATAAGTTTGGGCATTCTTATTACAATGTACCTGTTTGCTGGATATTGTATGGATATCAAAAAGAGAAAATACATGTAAATCACTTCTGGGGGTGATTCATCATAGCAGTTTTATGCAAGGTGCATGTGGTTCAATGATAGAGCATGGGAGTGTCAAATCCAAAGGCCTCAGATCCATTTCCTCAGAATTCTTTTTGTGTTCTGTGCTTATGTATAAAAGAAAAACATCTTTCTTTTTTCTCCCTGAGTTAGATCGAAATTTCAATTTTAGGATGGTATCCTGAATCACATTTAATTTTCTTTTGCAGGTCACGTAGGAATACTTTAATTGTCATTGCTATTTTTACTGTGTTTTTTATATGGACCATATCACGATTCATGCCCCACCATAGACAGGGACAGCTTCCTGAAGCACCTGGTAAGCATATCTATCAGATTTTGATCATGCAGCTAATTATTTCTTTTAAGGATAATGGTATTTGAAATTAAGTCTTGAAATTGAAATTAATGCAAATCAAGCAGAGAATTACAGTACTCTCCAATAAAGGATTAGGCTGGTAATAGTAGAACTTACATTTCAGAATGATAGAAATTAATGCACCATACACCAAGTAACAGGATAAGTAGAGACAATGGAAACAAAATCATAATAAAACTGTTCTGAGTGTAGAGTGCAAGCATTGTTCATGGAACTGTTTTTTTAACATGGTTGTAAAACAATGAATTTTCACCATCTTAAAGCATTCCATACAGTGTTTGTGACATCAGTTTTGAAGAAGTACCATATGTGCATGCTGTTTAAAGCTCTTGTGTCATATTAATTTTGCTAAAAATGCTCGGAGCGAGTTGAGACTTTTCTGGCTGAATTCAGAGATACATGTCTAGAGAGAGGAGAAGTTCATGGACAACATATCTAATGACTCAAAAGCATTAAAAGAAATTAAGGCTAAAAAGAATTAAAACAGTATGCATTGTTCAAACACATGTTGTTTCAGTCTGATAGATTGGCAAGAACTTGAATATTACTTCCTTTACCTTGGTATAAAAAAATAAATGTACCTCATGAAACATTCAAATAATTGTTAATGTTTCTTATGTACATTATAAACTGTTCTTTCATGTAGCATATGATAAAGTCTGCCTTAGTGATGTTTTGGGAAAGTGGAAACAAGCAGCTGCAGATGGTGATGTGGTGATAATCCATAAACCAAGTGAAAAATCAGAAAATCCATACTTACCTTTTGTTGGTAAATATAACATGGTTGTCTATTACTTGTATTTATTGTCTCTCATCTTTATATATTTTTATTACCCGACACCATCATATGTTTTACAGATAAGGAACCTAACAATTGCCTTCTCTATTATTTGAAACATAATAAGATGCATGTACCCTTTAGTAAAACTGTGTTGCTGGTTAACAATTAACATTTGGTATCAATGTTGATTGTTCACCAGCATGTAGATTTTGCTGTGGTTCAGTTTTTATGGAGACAGGTCCTTGCTGCTGATAAAATTACTTCCTTTTTGTGTCACTACCACAGGTGACAACACAAACCTGCATATTTAATGATTTTATAATAAGGCATTTTTCTGTCTTTTTCTTCTCAGGGAATGGTAATGTTGGAGTTGTAGCTACAGACAGTTCTTTTATGCACATAGCACTAATTCAACCCAGCATGAAATGGCTTAAGCTGCCGTTCTTCCCTATTGTAACTGCAAAAGCTTCTAATGTTCCTAAACCAAGAGGTACATGTACAGTACATATTCATGCATTTCTTCATGAACGGTTACATTAAGTTTAATCTATTAATTAAACAGTCAGGGCACCTAGCCTTTTATTTTTTCTCAAGGTCTCTAGCATCCTTCAGATTTTCTGTACATGCCAGCAAACATACAACCTACTGGAAATGATTTAGGTCTTAAAATTTAATAGTAGTTCACTCTTAAGTGTTAGAATATAATTATGAAATAAATATTGAATCATATTTTTTTTTATTTATAGAGGCAACAATTATTGATCTTAAGAAAGGTTTGGTTCATCAACTTCAAACCTACTCCTTTGTAAGTAAATGTAGTGTGAACAAATTGCTTAGTTTATATTTAATTTAATGACAAACAATTTACCAGTATTAAACATGTATTATTATAATAAGCTAGGATAACTAGAGACAATTTTATGAATAGTTTTTTAAATTATTCCTAGGTTTACACCTACCCTAATGTTGTTGATGTTTCTTCTTCAAGTTACAGTTTTTCATGGCTTGTTAAATCCATGACCAAACATTTGGAAAAAACAAAAATGGCATTAATTATTATTGAACAAAGAACTAGATGTAGTGTCATGACTGTGAGGCTCATTTGATTTCAAGTCAAATAAAGCAATCACACCTGTAACTTGACAATGACCTCAAAGAGTTTAAAAAGTGTCTTTAATTCATTTTTTTATTCCTTCAGTTTACAAAATATTTTTTGGACATATTTAGCCTTATTTTGCATGTAAAACTGTGAGTTATCATTCCCAAAGAAAACATACAAATTAAGGTACATAGCACAGACTCTAGAGTAATTTTCAATTATTTTTTATATTTTTAACTTGATCATGAAAATGTATTGGTATTATATATGTTGACAGAGCCATGGATGTGTCATTGTTGAGAATGTAATTTATGCTCATCGCAGTCAATCCTCTGTCTTGGTCCAAGAAGTTGTGGTCGTTAATCATGGGGTCTGTAGGCAAATATTTTGTTTGATTCTTAAAATCATCCCATTTTCCCATCAGTGCAAAGGCCTGCATACAGACTTTTCTATATTTTGAGATCAACAGCACACTTTCTCAGGCTTTCTCATTCTTTTTATTTCAATTTTCAAGGAAGATGGCACAATTTTAGCTGGTTGTCAATGAAGAAAATTTTTGTTCATTTCTCATGAACAACGGACTAAGATAAATCTAAAACCTTATTTTATAGGAATTGTTGATAGAAATAAATAGTCTAAACATGATATGTCTACTTTCAATCAGCATTCTGGAATCAAAGTTTTGCTAACACATGAGGGTGCAAAGGCATGGAAAGGTTCCACCACTAAAAGTTTGAGGTAAGTGCCAGTTTTGTGCAAAGTGTGAAGACTTTGATGAGTATCTTTTTAGGGAAGTGGGATCCATTTTCTCTTAATAAGCAGCTAACATCATTTTACAGAGGTAGCATTCACATAGAGGAAAAAAAATTCTCTCTTCAAAAGAAAAGGAATCCTTTGTATAACTCTAGAATGAGGTTGGTGTAGTAAGAAATTTGTTGCGGACCCCTTTATTTTGCAGAGAATGGTGTTTAACTTAGCAAAGAAAAATTTTATCGGACAAGGTTACATGAAAAAATTGGAAAATTTTCACAAATGAAAATATATTATTTTTGTCTAATGTTTAATAGAGGGTGTTTGTATGGCTGTCTTCATTTGTGTAAGGTGGAGTGCTGATCTTTGAAATTGTGTTTATATGCCACATTCAGTGTATGTATCTCAGAAGACCATCAAATAATAATAAGGAGTAGTCACTTGGTTACATATACCTCCTCTACAGTTTTGCCTCACGCTTGGAATCTGGACAAGCGCATGGAAAGTGTGTGGAAGACTTCTTTGTTACTGACTTAATGTGCTCTCCTTTCAGCTTTGAAAGAACCATGGACCCATCCAAAGCTCACTACACTCTCTCTCATGGGCAAGTAGCCCATGTGGATAAATCAGAACCCGACATCAATGTCACAGTTGCCACATCAAGAGTGCCACCAGAAATGACAGTGCAAGGACAGAGGTCTGAAAAAAGTTTTGTTTGATAGGTTAATTAGTGAGAATAGTAGGTTTAAATGTACATGAATGAATTATGTTTAAATCATGAGATGCTTGATTGTTTATACTATTTATAAGAACTATTTTTA